ATTGGTGATTAGGTGTCATCATATGAATTTGAGGGGTCATAAGTTCAGATCTTAGCACTATCATATATTTTAGCTTTCAGTAATTTAGTCTTATTCTCTGGACTATACTCTGGATAACTATTCTAGTTATATCTTCCAGTTCATGAATTTTCCCTTCAGCTTTATCATATCCACTAATTTATCATATCCAATTATTTTCAAAAGTGTATGTTTAACCATTATGTTTTTAATTTCTATGTTATATTTTTCTTAATGTCTAGCTATTTTATAGAAGTTAGTTCCTTGCTTCTTTGTATTTTAAAAATTTCACATGTAGTTATTAAATATTTTATCTGATAACTGCAATATCTAAAGTCCCTTTTGAAAGCCCAAGTTTTTCAGAAGTCAGAAGCTGTATGTGACTATTTTATGAAGGGCAATTTTAGGGAGAAGGAGTGAGGGCAAATGTGAATGAGGTTGCCAAAGAATGCCAGGATAAATTAGAATGTACTCTTAGTGGGCTGCTGCTAAGTTCACTTGACTGTCCAGTAGCATAAGGGTTGTGCTAGTTACTTTCCATTGCTGTGATGAAATACTTGACATAAATAACTTAAAGGAGGAAAGACTCCTTTTCCTCATAGTTACAGAGGTTTCAGTCATGGTTGGCTGGTTCCACTGTTTCAGGCCTGTGGGAAGCAGAAACATCATGGCAGAAAAGTGTGGTAGAGAAAGAGCTGTTCTTGTCATAGTAGACAGGAGGCAGAGAAAGAGCCTGAGAGAGCCAGCAAGGAAGGGCTCTGGGACAAAATATACCTTTCAAAGCCATGCCTCTAGAGATCTGCTTTATCCAATTACATTCCATCCCCTAGTAAGACAGTTTACCTATAAACTCACCAGTGGGTTAATCCACTGGTGAAGTTATAGCCCTCATGATCGGATCAGTTCCCAAAGCTGGCAACCAAGTCTTCAATTCAGTGAGCTTTGTGAGGGGCCATAATGAGGCTATTATGCAATGACCTCTTGAGAAGCCAGATAAACTATTTCCCAGAATCCCCATCAGGGAGGAGATATGAGAAAGAATTTACCCATTGGCTCTTTTCTTCCATCCACTCTCAAGGTTTTGGCCACTGGGGATCAATTTTCCCTCTCTGGACCCTCATGCATCCTGGTTTGTACAGATGCTGTCAGGGTCTCTCAGAGTCTCCCAGAATGGGAGGAAAGGAAGCCCTGGGGTAGGAGGTAAGACACACGCAGCCAGTTATAAGAGCAATGACCAGAATGTGAAACAAGTAAGGTCAGAAATGTTTCTAAAAGACGCTCTGCTACAGTGTCTAAATCTGGCACTTGTTTCTGTTAATTCTTATTCCTTCATGATGGTTTATTTCCTTGTATGTTTGATGATTTTTTATTATAGATTCTTAGTTGATTGATATTAAATTTGGGGGAATCCTGTGTGGCCTAAATCAAGGATGGGTTCATCCAGAGACAAATTTTGATTTTGCCAGGAGCCAGAGGGTTGCTAGCTACTTGAGATGTCTTTAAACTTCTTCCTGGGTTTCTGGCTTACTGTAAGTGTCTAAGGAAAAATAACTCCATTGTTCACTGCCCTGAGGTACATTCACTAGAATACAGTGCTGATACTGGCTTTTCTTGCAGAGGAACCCTGCCTTCTGTATTTGCTTACAGATCACACTCATCTTTTTGATTTTTTTTTTTTTTTTTTAGTGGGAGAATGGGTGCTTGGAGACTTTCCTTACTATCTGAAAGCCAGAAATGCATTCAAAATTATGTTTTATACAGCTCGCATTTAGTCTGCAATGGGAGAGCACTTCTGAGAAGCTGAATGCCATATTCTTGGAGGCAGAAGTCACTCTATTCTTGAACAAAGCAGGAAAGGAGAGAATTGCAGTGGTCAGAATTACAGAACTTCAGAAAAGGGTGGCCTATACCTCTGTTCTCATTCTAGACAAATTCAAAGGCATTCTATGTGTCCTCGTTTTGGCCACTTGGAATAGCTGGATCATTCCCTCTGTTTCCTAAGGACTACACAATTTCCCCCGCTCTCTGGGAGGGGCTGAGTGCAGACTGGCCTTGGAGAGGAAAGGATCAAAACCCATCACCTGAGGTTCCTGGCACCTGCTGAGGCATTATCCACGCTTGGCACCCTCTCTGCAGGCTTGGCTCTGAAGCAGGTGTGTTTTCAAGACAGTGCTGACCATAGGTATAAGTGACACAGGCAGGGAAGTATGAGACCTGAAAAATACAGGCTTTGGCTCTTTGGCCAGGTGTGTCAGGGCACATCTGGCTATAGGACCCCAGGATTGGCCTCCTGCTGCTGGAAGTGGAGTGGTTTCTTCAAAGAGAGAAAGAGAGAAGAAATCCTGTGGAGATGAAATAGGGAAGCTATTAGGCCTAGGAAGTAGAAGTGGGCCCTCCCTAACACTCAACGGGCAATGAAACTGGAGGAAACTGAGGGACGACAGCTTGGCTGAAGATAAAAGTGAAATAAAGTTCTGGACAGGAAGCAGGTTTTATGAAAACTACTCCAGAATGCAAAGAGAATGGGGCTAGGCAGAATCTTGGAGCTGTGGAGTATTGTCCAGCCCAGTGCTTTCAGGTAGCTGAGGATCCTATCTCTAAGGGTAGTAGAAACTTCTGTCTAGTGGACAGTTTGCCTTTAAAAGATAATCACTACTGCAGGGGTCACTTCATTTTCAGATGTCTTCAGAGTCTCTGTTTATTGAGGTGAATGCTGCAGGTTACTGCTCTTGGGTCTTCAACAGCTCCCTCTAATACCTGTTACTTTAACTAAGAAAGGTTTTTGGCCAGCGAAATGAACAAATTAAAGGACCGCACCTAGAATTTTATGGAATTGTTTTGTTTTCATTGATTCTGTAAGGTTGCTTTTTAGGTTAATTGGTTAATTAAGTGATATAAATTATCCCTCTACCATAAATGTAATCACGTTTTTCAAAAATGAAAAATTAAGGTCTGGGGATGTAGCTCAGGGGCAGAGCCCTGGGGTAGCAATCAAGGCCTTGACTTCCATCCCTAGCACCTCCTCCATTCAAAAAAGTGAGGAAATTGAAAGACAAATATTGATCAAAAATAATATGAATGATAATATATATGGCACAGTCATGAAGATGCAATAAGTATGGCCACGAATTAGGAAACACGGACGTAGTACAATCCTGACTTTATATCTCAGACACAGGAGAAGCAGAGAGAGAAGCAATTAGGTTCGCAAGGTCACGCATCACATTAGTATCACAACAGAAAGTACGGTCCAATCTCCCAACACCCATTCCGTACTCTGTCACCACCCCAAGCGGTGACCCTGGGTTTTAGCAACAGTAGTCCAGACAGGATGTCTGTCCCTCATGGAGGAGACAGAGGCAGTAATAAAAAGCTATTATACCCTGAGCTAAGTACCAATAAAAAGGATAGCAAGGTACTGAGATATTAAACAATGCTGTTTTGATTCCCACTGCCAGTTTTCTCTTTCTTCTGCCCTATTTAATCAAAATGGCCATTCCTTAGATACTTGTTTTGTTCCAAATACCAGTGCTCTTAGGAGACAGGGGAGGACTACACGTATAGTCAATCTTGAGGATGATTTGAGGAAAAAGATTCTCTCTCCCTCTGCTCATCCCCTACCTAGAAATGATGGCCTTGGTCTTGGGAGAATTCAAAGCTGGGTAGGAGAGCTATGTGAGTAAAGATGCTGGTGAGTTCTGAGAAGAAGTTTCTAGACTGAATTCTAGATGGGATCCCAGGTAAGCTCAGGTTTCTAGATGTGTTTGAGGAGTCTGAGAATAGAGTGATCCCACTTCTCTGGCAGGGGTTTAAGGAAGCAGGAAAGCCTTGGAGCTGGAGTGGCTGCTTGATGCATCTAGAGGAATAAGGATGAAGAGGGTATCAAAGAAATGCCTGTGCATTCACAGGGCACAGGAGTAAAGGAGGCAACATGCAGATGGGAATGGGTGGCCATTTGACAGTGACCATCAGGGAGAGTGTGCTGAGGACTAGATGAGCTGAGGAAGATCTTAAAGGAGAGTTGAATTATAGAAGAAAGTTACATTTTCACAACTGATTTAGTAGATTGAAATTCATATCCATTTTGGAAAGTAGGAGGAAGGGCATACACATGCTCAAGGTGAACCCATGAGATAGCCTTCCGGTCAAATCATGGAAGGTGCATAGAATTCCAAAAAGCTGAAGGCTTATGAAAAAATAGGCATATAACCAACAGGATTTCTGTTTTCCTCAAAAGCAAAGGAATAAGTTTCCTAAGAGAGGTTTAAAGAAAAAAGGAAGGTCAGAGGAAGGAATGATGGATCCTCAGTGAAAGGGGAGGGCGCTTTTCCAAGGAGTGGTCATGGCACCCAGACTTGGACAGGTGAGGAGGGACCATTTTCTGACTGCAGTTCAACCTCTCAGGAGGCAGACTCAGGAGGCAGTGCTTGGGTTGTACCTGTGGAGCCTGATGGGACAAGCTACTCCTCCCCATCATATCCTCCATTCTGTTGTCCGTGCAGAGAAAACATGATCTGGGGATGCATTAGGGAGGCATGAGGTATAGGGACTTCAGAATTTAATGATCCAGAATTCGAATCAATGATCTCCAGCAGCCTTAGTTTTCTTATCTAGAGAATGGGAAAAATGCACTTACATCACATGATTTGGGGGAAAATTAGATAGCAATAAATCTGAAGCCTGTGGCATAGAGGAAAGTCCTAGTAATGAATTGTTTTTCCTTCCGTTTCTTCTCTGCAGGGACTTTTTGTTACCTTTGTATGATCATTATGCCTAACATTGTGCCCAGAGAAGGCAATGGAGAATTTCTTCCCTTGACTTGCTCGAATTTAAAGAACGTGTATAATTCAAAAATGGACAAAGAAAATTAACATTGGTTTTATCACCAGGTTGTTAGATGAACAGATCAGAGAAAATTTTCCATTAAACAGTACAATTTTTCTTTCTCTGGCTGTCAGTCAGCACAAAGGTAATCCCAGGAATCAAGGCACTGAAAAGTGAATTTCTGGCTGAACTGATCACAGCAGCCCTGACATCATACAGCTGCTGCTTTCCATAATCAATGTCAGAGCTTAGTTTATTCACCTTATGAGTCCCTCGTGAAATTCCAAACCCAGTACCTGGATGGTAACATTTCCCCTAATTGATGCATGTTTGCTCTGGGAATTACATCCTGTTTGATTAATTTTGGGTTTGATTTCCCTCCTCCTGGTTCTATGATTTCTATGGACAGAGCTGTTCTTCTGATGCTTTGCACGTGGTGGAGGGCGATGGATCCACGGGCATTGGGCTGGGTCCTAATGCCAGCCTTCTGATTTTGGGGGGAAGTTTTCTGTGGAAAAACAAAAAGCAGAAATGACTTTCCTGATGTATCTTGGAGCAACATTTTCACTTAGTGTTAGGAAGAGAAGAAGAATATTCAGCACAAAACCAGAGAGTGGGTTAGACCATTTATGAACAGAATTACATAGTCATTATGAGGCCTATTTGTAAGATGAGGAAACTAAGACTCAAAGAAAAATCAGAAACTCAGTAAGGTGGGCCTTTTGTTCAAATCTCTTGTTTCTTTCTCTCTACCAGATTAAAGTAAAACTAGACTAGTTTTATAAAAAGTAGACTTTTTCTTTAAAAGACAATTAAATAACTGTAATTCGGCCATCAGCTCACAGCCTTCCCAAGTATCGTCAGGAAGTGCATGTTTCGTAGTGCATTTATAGTTATTTGAAGTAGTTTGCTTCAAGTCCTTAAGTCTTTTCTTAAAACAGCTTTGCCAGAGTTCTCATAAGTCTCTACTTACTGAATCCCTGTGGAGTCTACTGGTCCTAGCAGACCCTGGGGAGTTATTTACTTAATAATGACTATAGGACACAGGATAATCCCCACAGTGAAATAATCCTTTGTATGTCTTTGTATGTCAAAGATTCTCAAACTAGAATTCCTCTGGGAGCCTCTTTCCTGGGTTTCTTGTGTACCTATTCTGTCTAGTGTGGGCATTTTACTTGTTATGTTTGTAAATCAGCAAAGATGTCCAGTTCTTTTGGACCTTTCTCTGTAGTACAGTACAAAGCCTGTGAGTGTGGACTAACAACTTAAACTCACTTAGCCTCAGTTTCCTCCAGTATAATCAAAGAGAGCCTTCCTTTTAGAGTGTTGGTGAGGAGTTCAGTAAGACAATGTGGATATTGTGATGCCCACAATGCCCACATGGATTACTGAGAGAAAACTAGGTACTAACTTTGAGTTTCCTAATAAGAGCTCAGGGAATCCAAAAATCAAAGATCCCTAAAGGATGGTGGGATCATGTCCTCCAAACAGGTGTTTTCATTTTGAGGATGGGAGGAAAGAGGGATAAGATAGAGCCTCAGAAGATGGAGGGGTCACATTCCCCAAAAGCAGCACTGAGAGCTCCTGGGGACGATTGTGGTGTCACCCAGGTCTTCTGTGCCAAGGCTAGGAAGCCAGAGAGAGACAGACAGTGGATCTTTTAATGCCTGCATTGATTCAGTGGCTCCAGAAAACAGGTGCAATGGATTTGGCATTGAGTGTGCAGGAGAGAGGATTGTGGTGTGAGCACGGCTGATGGCGAGAAGTTCTGCAAAGCGGGCTGGGAGTTGTACAATATTCACACCATTCCAGGGACTTCAGCACCAGCTCAGGTAGGAGAGGGAGTCGTGGGTATTTATCCAGCAGGTCCTCAGCCTCCTCTGACTTTGGCATCTACTCCTTGAGACTGATACTTCAGAAAGACCCAGCCTTGTTCTTGGGGACCCTTGCTCACCACTGTCTCATTTCTGGTTGCAGGTTTCGCTGGCCACAGTCACACTCCTTAAAATGGAAGAAAACTAAACTAATCTAAATTAGTCAGGAGCTTAGAAAATGGAGAAACAATTGTGATTGAGATTCTTGGGATATGCTCATGCTTTGGTAAGGGATAAGTGGTCCTGGGCTTGAAAACAGTTCTACACTAAGCCTACTAAACTTGCAGATTAGCAGAGGTCACTTGAAAATTATGCAGAGAATTCTAACTTCACCATGAATAAGGCCCTTCTCTGGATGATAGGGAGAGAGTGGAACAGAGGAGGAGGGGCTACCAACCCTTCCTGCAGGGAGCTCACATTGAATTTCAAAAGCCAGTATTAGGGTTACCACACATCCGGGTTTCCCCAGAGCAATCCTTGCACACTTATGAATAGTGAACCCTCACAGTCTAAAAACTTTATTAATTCAGAAGGTAAATTGATGTCCAACCTGGCAATATTATCTTACTAATAGAGCATTGGCAAATAAATATTCTGAAGGAAGATAAGAACACAAAGTGCTGTAAGGGTTTGGAACAAAGAAGCCATGCTTCTAGTTAGGGAACCACAGGATGCCCCGGAGAAGACTTTGTGACTCCCACAGCTCAATGGCCAGGGCTTGTGTGGCATGTAACCAATCGGACTTGACCTTGTCTGATACGATTTCATGCACTTGATCTCTAGTGCCACTGGTGATAAGCCTTTGTGATGAAGGAGCTGACCCATTAGGATTCTGGCTTCCTGTGTGCTGATCCCTGAGCAATTCCACTGGTCAGTATAGAGATTGTTATGTCATCCCTTGTGTTATGCTAAGTGAGCCGAAATATGGCAGAATGGGATGGGGGTCGAAGTAGAGATGCATGAAGGAGGATTGTGCCTGTAAACAGTCATTGCCTTCACTGGGCTGTATTGGGCTTGGAACAAAGGATCTGCTTAGGACTTGTGACTTGGACCATTTATTTGTCTGGGACATTGAGGACACTCAGGGCTTCCATTTATGAGGGACAGCGGAGAACGCAAAGTAAGCATTGTTTCATTTGATGCAAATTGAAAGTACCCAGGGGGGAAGTAAATATATTCTATAGTACCAGAAAGGTCATGTCATGTTCTTTGAGTAGGAGTGGGGGAAAGGGAAGCCATAAGTCACATTTCTGCAAGGCAGGTGTGAAGAAGCATAGAGGGATAATGGAAGAACTAAGTCCATCGTTGCTTTCCCTAATGCCTTTTTTATTCAATCAATTGTCCTATCATTAAATGGACCAACCAACCCATTAGTAAGCACATACTTAGGACATACTATGGGCCAGCCTCTAGGATGCTCCAGGAGATATCAAAGCCACAGTCCTTCTCATCAGTGAACTTTTTGGCGAGTGCTTATCTTTCCCAATCATACTCAGTTCCTGCCCTAATCTCCACTGGACAGGCAGTATGAAGAAACACTGAGCCACTCCAAAAGACACAGAATGGAATTAGATATACAGTGACAACTTGAGAGCTCATGTTCTTGAGGCTTACTCTAGACCATAGTTAGAAGATGACTTCCAACCTCTGCTCAGAGCACTATTTCCATTTCAGCTTCAGGGTCTGCAGTCAGTGTGACTTAAAGGACAATGGATGTGTAAGCTTTGGAATCTAATTGTCTCGTTTGAATTCTACCTCTGCCACTTTCTATCTGTAGCAATTCAGTTATAGAAGCTTCTTCTGCCAAAATGAGATAATAGTAAATCACTTGAAAGCTGTCATGAGGAATTAATGAGGTAACTGACTACAGAGCCAAATTCAAAGAAGAGACTCAACTGATAGTAGCTATTAGTACTGCTAGTGGTGATGGTAGTAGTATTAGTTGTAGTTAATGGCAAAATGGTTGTAGTTGATTTTTCACCAAGAGTTGATTCCTGTCCTAGTGAATAAAATCTGTTACCAGATTCATGGTTGTCCTAGCATCTCCCATTGTGGACATGTATGTCTTCTCTGACCACAATTTAATGTCTTGCTCCAAACTGACCTGTACAATATCAACTTACCTCCTACTTAGTGGGCAACACTGACTTTAATTGATGTTAAAATTACTACCTCCTTGGACATTTTGTTCAGGGCACCTGGATAAACTAAGAGAGGGCCAGTCTCATAATTTACATAATTCTTTTAAAATGTTCCCAACTGATTCTGGATTTTGCTGTCCAGATTTGTTCTTGTCCTTACTGCCAAGACCTTTTCTTTCTTTATGACAAAAACTACCTGGTTTCGAACAATTTCAGGAATTCCTGCCAACTGCCAGGATGATGGAACAGAAAGTCAGTGATGGCTGCTTTTACAATGAAGCTGGGCAGTAGTAGAATTTCCAAAGTCTAGACGTTGCTAAATCGAGATTTATTGTAGTAACACAAGGCAGGGTCCCCATGTGCACAATGATCTGGAAAGATAGCAAGATATTTGGTCACAGAATGACTAGAGTGGAGAGAAACAGAGACAGTTTTGAGAGTCTTGAAGTTCTAACAAAGGTGTCCTAGACAAAAGAAGGATGATAGCATTTCAGACCCTTTATTTTGTAAAAGTAGCCTATCTCTGTAGCTTACCCTGAGCCAAGTAGATTGCTAGAGCATTTTCCTCATCTCCCCTGCCTTACACTGCTGATTTGCCTGGGTCATGCTTGTGAGTTCAATAGCTTTCTTCCTCTCTACCACCTTCTCTTGAATTTCTTCCCATTAAAAAGAAATCATCTTCTAGGATAAGCAATTTTTCTACACACACATATTACCTACTTCATTTTTGTCCTCTTCTCTCAGAGACTGTAATATTGTAAAATGAATATTTGATCTTCTTACTTCCTGACACACAACTCCTAAAGCTCTTGTAGACAATGGTGGTAAGAGAATTTTTTGTTGTAATATTTAGTCTTTGATTCAACATTCCTGACGGAGGTCTTCTAAATTCTTTGGAATGCCCTGTATGATCAGAATCTTTGGTCTGACAAGAGGACTCTTGGTGGGCTCCTGGTTAGCTTCAGGTTGAGGGGTGTTTGCCAAGGGACAAACACGTGATTAAAGGTTGGAACTTTCAGCCCTACTCCTTCACCAGGGCAGGAAGAGGGGGTGAAGACTGAGTTGATCACCAGTTGCCAATGATTTAATCACCAGGCCCACATAAGAAAGCTTCATAAAATCCATATGATCAGAACTTCCCGATAGCTGAATTAATTCATGGACGTTCCTGAAGGGCAGCATAGGCAGAGAGGGCATGGAGGCTCCCTGCCTCTTCTGATATATCCTGTCCTTTGCATTTCTTCCATATGGCTATTCATTTGTGTCTTTGGTAATATCCTTTTTATAAGTAAAGCATCCCCATGATTTCTGTAAACCAGTCTAGCAAATTAATAAGACCTGAGGAGGGGATCATTGGAACCGCTGATGGTCAGTCAGAAAGGTAAGTGACAACCTACTACTTGTGACCGGTATCTACAAGTGTGTGTGTGTGTGTGTGTGTGCGCGTGTGGATGTGCAGTAGTTTTGTGAGACTGAGCCCTCAACCTGTGGAGCTGAAGCTCTCCCCAGGTAGTGTCAGGTTGGACTTGAATTAGAGGACTTTCATCTAGTGTCCACCCAGAATTGCTGCTTGGCTGCTGTGTGGGGATACACACCACACTTCCGGTGTACAGGGCGTGAGACTAGAGCCTAGGAAAACATTTTTTTTCTTGTCTCTAAGGTGAACTTTGGCAGGAGGCTTTTCCTCATTCTTCCTCTGAGCCAGAGAAGTCAGACACAGTTTAGGAAAATTTGATATTATCTTTGCTTTTCTGTACTTAAGTGCGATTGCCTGCATTACTCAATTTGTTAACTTCTGCAACTTTTCCTGATTAACTTTTCAGGTTTGTCTCATGACACTATCACTTCTTAGTAATTAAAGAAAATTTTTGTTTGATTATTTTTAGAAAATATTTTATTCAGCTTTATAAATATATTGCATTTTTCGACTTGTTAGGAATGGGAGCCCTGAATGGCTGCAGTTGGATTGAAGTTATTTTGATTGAAAGGATTTTTGAACCATAGGCCCTGGATCTCAATTCCTTATTTTAACTCCAGACTACAAACAGAAGTTTGAACATTGTTTCTGATGTAACTGTAACTTCTGAATACCCAATCAAGACGCAAAGCATAAGAGAAATATTATTTCACCTGCTTTCAGTTATCATTTAAAAAATCAAATTACATTCAAATACCTTATTTTTTAATAAAACATAGTTTATAAATGAAATTATAACCTTTTTGGGAAATTATTTTTCAGAGTTGCATCTGGGCAAAGCCTGCGTCTCTGAACCCTTGTTATTCTGCGCCTCACCGTACAATCTTGGAGTCTTTTGTCCCATCCTCTTCTGTATTCCTGCTGCACTCTTGGACTAAGAAATGTCATGTACACATATGGCTTCAGTTGCCACATGTTACTTGATATAAGCCCCGTTTGTCTTTTTTATTATCTGTGATGCCCCAAATCCTAACACCTTCCTATTGGGAGGATCGTTCCACAGGGACAGCCTTGAGAGGATGTGGCCTTCTGTTTCCATAGCAGAAGCTGGATAAGAGCAGGACAGGGTGCTCTACTGTGCACTTCCAGAGGCTGCGTTCTCTTCATAACATTTGTGAAGAGCTGTGGCCTGTATACTTTTTTGCACAGCACGAGTTACGCTATGGTCTCTGAGTAGTTGATATCTGTAAAATGCCGCAACAAAAAGAACAAAAAAGTGCACTCTGCATGTGAGCTGTTTTGTGGCTCTGGAAAGCTACTTCAACCCACCATTTCCTGGCAGCTAAGATAAGGGAACATTAGTTAAAGTTGGTCAATCATATGTTCTCACCTAATATCTGAACCTCCACAGAGGCATGCAAAACAGTGAAGTCATAGGATGGTGACCGCACTAGTGGTGGCAACACTGGTACTTGGTGTCCAGCAGCAATAACAAAGTCCAGTGGCAGCATTGCCTAGCAGGAGTGGTAAGTGTCAGCTGGTGCTGATGCACCTTGGCTGTGGTTCCTGCTGCTGATCTCATCTACTCCCTGCCTATTGAGACCCGTTCTAAAGTCTTTCTCTTGATTCTATGGCCAACCTGGTGAACTTCAAATGAATTCTTTTTCTTTTTAAATCATACAGAACTGGTTTGCAATTGAGAATCTTGCTACAGAAATGGATAACAGAAAGAAGCATATGTAGATATATTTGTTTTTTATTCCTGCACAATAAATCCATATAAACTTAACAGATACAAGCAAACACATTTATTTCATAGTTTCTGTAAGTCAGAAGGTCCACACATGGCTTAGCTGAGGTTTATTGTTTCCAAGTCCCATCAGGCTGCTATCCAAGTACTAGTCAGGGCTGAGGGCTCATCAGAGGCTCAGCTAGAGAATTATCTGCATCCAGACTGAAACCCAAGCTGTTGGAAGAATTTATTTCCTTCAGACTAGAATTCTTGAAGGGTTGGTTCTTTAAAACCAACAGAGGAAGCAGGGAGGGGAGGATGGAAAGGGAGGGAGGCAAAAGAATGGAAGGGAATCCTAAGTAGAGAATTCTCTGAGTCATATGTGGGTGCATACAGTGTTTTGTACCATAATCATGGGAGGGACACCCCATTACCCTTCCTTACAAGATAATCTTATCATGGGACCGGAGCATTATCATCTTTACTATATAGTCTATTGATTAAAAAGAAAATTCCAGATCCTGCAAACACTCAAGGTTTCACAAAGATGTGAACACTAAGTGATCATTCATTATTACTCAAGAGTAGAAATCCTGAGCTTTGTCTCACATACAAGGCAAAGCAGTTATTGCCTGCCATCATCTTCATGTTGTTACTAAGGGTTTCAACTCCATGATGTTACTATGCCACTCTCATAGAATAGAACAAAGAGAAATTTAAGACATTGGAGTGGAATAGCTGTTTCTTTTAAAGTCTTTTTTATCAGTATATGTTTATGAGACATAATAACTACATTCATTTGGGGAAATTGGTATATATATTATCTTGATCATTTTTGATACCCTTTCCACTTTACCCTCTCCTCCCCGCTCCCCTCTTCTCATCTCCAATAAGTCTACTTCTAAAAGTACAATACTGCTTAATGAAAGAGAATGACATCCTGAATCCTAAATTTTGGCTCTGCCGTTTTTAAAAGTACAGTAGTCACACTGTGGTTCCAGATTGTAGAAATGTGCTTTAAATATACATGTGCTTGCAAGCACACACACACACACACACACACACACGTGTGTGCGAGCAGTTATATATCACTTCATGGCAAGGAGATGTTCTAAGGAATGTGCTGTTAGATGATTTCATTGTGTGAACATCATAGGGTACTTAACACAAACTTAGATGGTATAAGTAAGCCATTTGCCATGGCTTTTTTTTTTTTTTGAGGTAGTGAGGATTGAACTCAGGACCTTGCACTTGCAAGGCAGGCACAGTGCCACTGAGCTAAATCACTGGTCAGCTCTGCCATGGCTTTCTGATGTGATCAAGAGTTGAAGTAAGCATGAGATACGTGAGGCTATTGAGAATGTAACATGAAAACTGTTTTGTAATATTTTTTATTTTTACAAGTAGTTACATACTCTAAAATAACAATATATTATAGAAGTACAAAAATGAGTGATGTAGTTGTTTACTATAATTATCAACTTTATATACTGTACCTAATTGTATGTTCTGCATTTTAAATGACTGGTGGTACAATAGCTTTGTTAGTCTAAGCATCATCACAAACATGTTAGTAATGCATTGTGCTAAATATTATGAAGTCTACAATGTCACTAGCATTAGGAATTTTTCAACTTCATTATTATCTCATGTGACCACTGTTTCATGGGGAGGCATTGTTAACAGAAACATTATGTGGCTTATGGCTGTATTTATATAAACTGAAGAGTCACAGGGAAGATAGCGAAATTCAAGATTGTCTTTGCAGGCTTGAAGCTCTATCCATTGAGTTTGAATTCATTCTCACATCACAGTAAAGACCATAATTAGGAATGATTTAGGGCTCCAAGACTTGGAGGGAGCTATCTGGAAGAACTTGGAAAACTTGGAACTGCCCTTAATGTATCTATTTGCCTCTGGCTCTCTGGTCTGTCCCACTTCCTTTCCTCCTTATTTTATGAGACTATTTTTCCTATGCTTTTAGATTTTGAAAGAAGAATCAACCCATCCTTTTCTGTTACCACCATTTTTTGTAGGCTATAACCAGAGTTAGAGCCTCTCTCTTAAGTCCAACTGTGAATCAGACCTGGGAAATTTACCCCATAAAGAAATTTCAAGGTATCTTCTCATAATGCATCTGAAATCCCATTTTTGTCACTTTCTCTGACTTAGTAAATTCTTACAATATAGCAATGCCTAGTGGTGATAGTTTGAGTGAACAGAATTTCCCACATATGAGGAAAGAGTTTAAATTTGCATAAACTTTCTGGATAATTTGGTCAAAGTATCAAACAACTTAAAATGTTTATACACTTTGAATTAGTAATTCCATATCTAAAAATAAATCCTAAGGATATAATAATGCAAATATGTAGAAATTTAGCTACAATAATGTTCATCATACTATTAAAATAGCAGAAAATTGGATAAACCTAAATTTCCAAGAGAAAGAGATTAGTTGAATACATTTTGGTATACCCATGCAACAAATTCCTTACAGCTACTAAAACATCATACTATGAAGAGATATTTAGGGTAGAAAAAGATGATCATTATTTTTTAGGTAATTCAACAGGTTATAATATTAACAGCATAATTTCTTATATTTGTATTTGAGAGAGAGAGAGAGAAGCAAGATTGAACATACCCAGATCAAAATCTCCACAGTAGTTATCTTTAA